AAGAGGAAAAACAGGATAGAACAAAGAGGGGCGTATGGAAGGGGTGCAAGGGGGGGGGGGGGGGGGGGGGAGGCAGACGGAGAAAATGTTTGTTTCTGTGAATCAGCTTGGAGCCGACCCACATCCTTCCCATTCACAGGCAGCACAAAACTGCATCTGCATGCTGCCGGGCTGAATCACAAACTGTGCTTCCATTCCAGTTGTCGAAGCAAATTTTGAGACGATTTTTTAAGTACAACAACGTTTCCAGGCATGTTTCTGTCACCTGGTTTGAACCGAATCAAACACGCCACAGAAAGCATCATTCCATCAGATATAAATATCAGAAATATTTACATTTTGTGTTTAAGACGAAAGACAATTTTTTGTCTACATTTATATGAACTTCTCAAGTGGCATTTTTAGTTTCGCCTGTTTCAAATTCTGTAACAAGAAAAAAAAAATCTTTAGTTGAGATTAATCCCCAAAAAATAATCAATAGATTATCTCTACACTGTGTTTATTTACGTTAAGTCAAACTGAAGGGATGGAACTTTTTCCACCATGTTGACATTGGAAGTAATTCTTTAGCCTTTCCTACAAAAGGCCAAGCAAACGCTAAGGGAATGCTGCTATTGCACTTTTGGCAATAATTTTATTTTCATTGTCTTAAAAATAAAAGGAACTGAATCATTTATTAGCATTTTTTTAAATGTATGTCTAATATTGTATGAAATACGCTTTAGTGGTTAAATGAAAGAACTGCATGATCCTATTGATCGATTAATTGTTAGAATAATCGATTAGTAGAACCACTGTTATCTGCAGCCTCTTGCTGACTCCGTTACGGCGTTTCCCTGGTCGTAAAAAGGTTTGAACCTCGGTGGATCCGGCGTTGTTCTTTAACGTTCCGACGAATGATAATCACAGTTTGATCATCAACGGAGCAGTGACCTGAAGCACTCAGTAACACTGGTTCAACGAATGGACTGTGCTCTAGACGTCAGGTTCGTCTCAGAAAACCAAACGATTTCACCGTTTCCAATGAGAAAAGATTTCAAATGTGCAACCACAGTTAGGCAAAAGAAAAAAAAAAGCATGTTTTTTTTCTGCAACTTGGTAAGAGACAATCTGATGTTAGATTCTGACCCTGTGTGAATGAGAGAAAATCCACAGTAAATTCAAACTTGTGCACCTGTATGAGAAACGTATGCCGACATTCACACATTTCTGACGATTCACCAACAGAACTCACATGTATGATTCGTCAACCTGACAGGTCTCTCCCTCTCTGCTCCCTCCTCCTCTTCGTCCTCTCCATCCTCCTCGTCATCGTCGTCATCGTCGCTCTCTCCCAGAGCCATGCTGGGTCCCAGAGGCGCCACCGGCGGCGGCTGCTGCTGCGGCGAAGGCAGGCTGCGTTCAGCGTCACCTTTGTCGCCGCTCTCTTTGGCTCTCTCCTCCCTGATCTCGGCCTCTCGCTCCAAGGCTTCGATCTCCAACATCCGCCTCTCCAGCAGCTCGGCCTGCCGTTTCTGCTTCTTCTTCAGCTTCTTCTTCTTGTTCTTGGAGATTTTTCCCACCTGGGAATAGAAGGAAAAAGTAGATATAGCCATAAATCAGAGGAAAAAAACCCGTCGATATACACATATAGCATGAGAAATGCCAATGGTGGATTATTCAGTTATTAGTTTTGACTGATGAGACATGATGCCAAACTCCACAACTGAAGGCTGTTGCAGAATTATTTTCAATCAAATCTGATCAAACCACGCAGGAAAATAATCGTATATATTCTTATGTTTCTGAGTTTCATAGTCATGTGGGTTTCGTGTCGAAGAAGAGAAAAAACTCTATTTATAAAAGGTCAAAAAGTCTGCCGATATGCAGACAGAAAAAGATAAAACGATGACTGTGTTGTTTAAATTATCTTGCTTTCTGACTCCCACTCAGCAGGGGGCAGCATACATCCTTTTTTAAATCAATCTCCCCTCCCCAGGCTCTCTGAATACTGTTTCATTTGCTTGGATCTCAGCGGCTTGTGAGCGAGCTCTGCTGACCGTGATGCAAACAAAACCAAATGCTTACAAACCAAAGCATGGACAAACCTGGATGTTTTGCTTTTAACTTTGTTTTATGTTGTGTGTGTGTGTGTGTGTGTGTGTGTGTGTTTTTTCTTTTTAGTTCATACTCACATCAGACGTACTCACCGGTTTGAGCTGGGGCGCTGTGCTAACTGAAAGACACGGACAGACAGACAAAGATGAGTGGCTTCAGATTCTGATCAGGCAGCAATCAGGACCTTTCAGGTAAAGATCGGCTCACTGCAAAACAACAAACTTCCACGAACTTTGAGATTTTATGTGACAAACCAACAAGCAGCAGGTTTGCCTCTCAGGATTATGTAGCTCCATTCGTTTTAACTTCAGCTCTGAACAGCTGCTTCCCTGTCAGTCCAACCTTCCTTTATATTGAGACAGGCCTTTTTTTCAACAATTGTTTTCATAAAGGCTAGCTTTGTGGCGTCAGGGCTCCCGCAGGTTTCACCAACTCAAATGTAAGACTTTTTAAGCTCTTTACTAATTAAGTTTAACACCCATTTCTCCACAGAAATCTACAAACTGGTGATAAATTTGAACTTCCCCATGATGGATGAAAACAAGCTAGCTAGCTAGCAGCTAGTTGGCAGTACCCTGAACTGTCTCGAGTTGCAGTGAAAATGTCTGGGTGCGACTCAAACTTTTGCTTGAACAGAAAAGTCCAGCGAGAAAAAAAAAAAGATTATACTAGATTAATTAGTCCTGTCGAGATAAAATTTAAGATCTGAGGTAACATATTAAAGACCAACTTACTTCTTTAATGATTTTAAAGAGGCAGTATTACGTAAAATAGATATTTTTGAGCTTTACATCATGTTATTTTGATTCTTTCATGCATGTTTGAGAAATACTTTGATCTCCATGGCAAACACACAGCTGTGGGAAAATGCCTGGTTGGACCTAGCCCTGCCTTCAAGGTATAGCTCCTCCTCAGAGCTGCAGTTTCCAAGCTTCCTTGCTTCTGCCTCACAGAGCAGCCCTCCTTCACTCAGCTCCTTCAGACTAGCCAGCAGCAATTAGCAAACAGCTGGTGGAACTGAGCATCTGCTTGGCTCGAAATGTGAGCTACATCTCAGTGGAATGCTGGTAAAAATGTCGCTAAAGGGTTAATAGAGGAGCCATGTCATGACTTCCTGAAGTCTCAGAAAGAGCAAGAATTTTAAAGAGACGGAGGCCCAATTTCAAGGCATTAGATCAGAAAGTAAAATTTCTTTTAAGTGATACTTGAAATGTGTAGCATTTTCCTAACAACTGAAGATAATATAGTTACGTGATTACGGTATAAAATGGCACTATGTGTCTGGAAATCACATAATACTACCCCCTTAAGGCCTTAAATTTAGATAGATGGTTGCAAGATTTGTGGGCATCTTGGAGTGAGAGTTTTTGCATTATTTTATTGAACAGTCCTCTGTAAGATGTTCAGATAAGAGTGACCCAGTTTCTCTAAGAGGGTCAGCTTAAAAGAAGCCGAATTTAAAAAAAAATAAAAAAAAACTTGGGCTACACTTCTCACATTAGACATTATGCACCACTTTGTGTTGGCATGTCAAATGAAATCCGGGGAAAACGCATCCGCTTTGGTGGGTTTTGTTGGGACTTTAAATGACAAACAAATGAAGAAGCATTCCTTGTGCACACCCACTGCCTTCCTTCCTCGTTGCAGATCGATGAAAGCCTTCAATTATTTACTGCAGTCTTAAACACATTAGATACTCGCTGGTCCTACCTGCTTTGCAAACATGGAAAATTATGAACGTGCAGTCTCTCGTATTTTTCCCTTAATGGCTCACAGACACTCTGGACTGATAGACAACAGAAACGTGTCGTTATTTCTGGAAATCCCTCATTATTTTTGGTGTGACCTGCAGAAGAAAATCCTCCTTGTTAGGGGACAGAATCTTCCAGCTTCGTGAAATATTCTGAAACATTCCCTCTGTTTTATCACAGGGCGATCAGCCGATGCTGCACATAAGACGAACGACAGGCGTTTATGTCGGCATAAAAAGAGTGAATTCGCTCTGCCTCTTCAGTCGCAGACCGACTCTGCCACCGCCGTCGAGCGCTCTTTGTTTTCAATGTTGGTAGTTGTATTCCCTTTCAAATGTACAAAATGCAAGCTGCTGGAAAAGACTGACTGATGCAAGCATCTGACAGCTCACACTGGGGTTCAGCAAGAGGACAGGGTTCATATCGAGGTTTTGGAACATTTTTCTTTTCCAGTGGAGGAAGTTGTTGTGAAGAAAAAAAAAAAAAATTATCTTCAAAGCGCCAAAAGGGAGGGAGCTGAGGAAGCACCAAGAAGCTCCTTCCTTTCTGTGCAACAAGAACTTTATGATCCTTTTTCAAAGAAATCTGCTTCATTAGATTTGACAATGTTTTGAATATTTTACTAAAATGTGGATTTCAAATCAGAATCATCTGCTTTTTTCTACTCCAATGCAGAAGTAATAATTATTACGAAACTAGAAACATGTCAGTGACTAATCTTGTGTTTTTTTTGGTTTTTTAATTATTATTATTTTGCTTTTAAAGAACATTATATGTGAAAAGGGTCTTGTCCTAAATGTTTTGTGTTTCTTGGTAAAGAGAAAAAAAAGTTTCAGTCTTTCTAGCTACAAAAATGAGAAATAGGTCACTCTTTCTTTAAAAAAAAAAAAAAGACTTCTGCGTTTGGCCGAGTTTAATGAATGTGAGCTTTTAAACTGACTGTTTATGCTACTATTTAAAATTTAACTAAAGTGAAATTGAGAGATAAATGACTGTGTGTTGCACCTATTATTTTAACAATAGGTGCAATAGTTGCAAAATTTATACCAATGAACTGCGGTCAGAGTCCACACAAAATCCCTCATGACCTTTGACACCTCGGCATTGAAATACCACCAGTTTGACGGGGTTTTCGGTGTTCAGGCCTAAAGTATTACGTTTTATTTGTAACTTCAATAAAACTGATTTAAACAATTTGATTAAAAGACATGAGAAAGAAAACACTTAATGAAAGAGATTTAGCAACTTCTATCTTGTGTTAATTTAACTTAACGACAAAACGAACGCAGACAAGAGGAAATACTCCCTGCAGCTCCCTTGCAGGAACCTCATGCGTTTACCATGCTGCTAGTACTTACACATCGACTTGTCTTTGCATGAAGCAGATTTTAAAGACCAGACTGTTCGTTACTTCAAGCTACCACAAGAAGAAAAGCTTCAAGTTAATTTCTAAATTTCCCGCTTTTAGAAATTAACAAAGATGTCGACTAGCGAGGACAGGAACCAGGGCTGGGGATTTTTTTTGGCAGATTGCGGAAAACATGTTAGCGATACACGAGGGAAGCTTGCACAATATAAAAATCACACGTAGATCTCATCACACTCCTGTGAGACAACGTGGCATTAAATTAATAGAAGACGATACGTGCTGGAAATTTGAATTAGAAGTAGGAACCTTTCTGCAAATGGGTCAATCCCTTCTGGGCTAAAGTAGATGATGAGCTGAGTAACTGGCCAAACACACTGCAGTATGTCCCAGATGGTGGGCGTCCCTAAAATAATACTTCTTGTTATCATGGTTGTTCTAATAACAGCTTCCATGATTATTTAAGAAAAAAATGTGACAGTCTGGATAAAAACACCACAGTGGAGAAGTCACAAAACACTTTGTAAGATTATATTCAGTTCTATTGACCATTTTGATCGCTCAGTTCCTGCGCCGTCATATTTTACGCTGGAAGAAATGTCAAATGTAACAACCTCGCACCAACAGACCAGGTTTCATTTACGTCTAATTGTTCTAACGATGTTCATAAATGGGGAAAAAAAGAAAATACTAAAGCAGTGTTTGTGTTGGTACCAGCTGATCCGGACGGGGGTGGAGCTCCAGCTTTCTGCCACTCGGTGGCCTCCATGGCCATGCGCCTCACGAACACGTCGTCCACACACATCAGGATGTTCTCAGGTTTGATGTCTGTGTGGATGATTTTACACTTTGTGTGGAGGTAGTCCAAACCCTGCAGGACCTGCACAGACGTTTAAATCAACAGACAATCATAACAACGCTGATTTTTCTCTCCTTCAATTCTTTTTTTTTTTTTTTTTTGCATATCAACAAAAACTTTAAATTAAAACACTCATCCAAAAACCAAACAGTAAATCTTTTGGAGTTTTTTTCTTTTTTCATATCGGTTTCTTTTCTTTTTGGGGATTGAAGAGGAAAACAGCCTCATCTATCACTCTATTCATCGTCTGGGCAGCTTTCAGGAGGCAGACTGAAAGAGTTCAGCAACTTCACATGCTGATCAGGTGGCTGATGGGAAAATGCCCCCAAGTCTCGTGTCTGAGAATAGGAGCGTTGATCGAGTCTAAATTGAACCGCTGTCTGCATCTCCTGTGTTTGACCCAAATGAATTAAAAACCTTGTTGTGCTGCCTCGAAATTGAGGACGGCCAACCGCAGCAGGAGTTAACAGAAGTTGTGCATCTTTGGATATTTTAAGCAGAAAAGAGCCAATAGCAACATTTTCCCTCCCAGGCGAGAGCTGGCTGACTGTCGTGAGTGTTTGGAGTCTTAATGGGGACCCAGTGTGAACAGTTGTTGCCTCTTCCCATACAACTATCATGCCTTCAGCTCAGTAAAAAGTGTAAGAATATCAAGCGAATGGTTGCGTTACGCCATCATCATCGTTTGTGGGCGAAGACGCAGCAAAGAAGCTTCCGATGCGCTCAGACTTCGACCATTTCTCAGACCATCCTTAATTTATTCAATCGAAGATTTTATGTGCTTAAACAAAATCGGGTTTTTATTAAAGAAGAACACCAACCATGCAGCTGGTGCTTCAACAGTAGTGGAAATGGATCCATCTTTAAGCCAACGTTTCTGGCTCGCTTTTCTTTCCAAATCATGTAAACGACGAGAGCAGCTGTTTTGGGGAAGATCGTGTGAAATATTTATTCATCCCACTGAGTGACACAAAGACACCAAACTAAAGCAAACCTCTTATAAGGCCATCAGGTTTCTTTTTCTTATTTGGTTTTATTATGCTATGAAAAACCTTCTGGATGAAAAATGATCACACCCACTTCTTCCATTCATGCCAATGTGCATTTTTCCCTGTAATTGTCCCGACACACGGATGAGTCCCTAATATTAATAACGCCTACTGAATTACCTTGGTTTTAACACAATAATCCAGCCAATAATGTTCTGTAAGATGAGGCGGCAGAAAGCTAAAGCTTCCCTTTTATACATGAAAATAAAAAAAATTATTCAGATTGGGGGGGGAAAAAAAAAATATATAAAAAAAGGGAGCATGGCACCAATTCATGTTAAATGCGGATTAAATCTGATTCCTCAAGGGGATGAAAGGTGTCAAACTGGGATAATTTGATGAATTGCCATGTTTCGGGTGCTTCTTCCATATTTAATGGAATCCACCGCAGCAGCGTGTTGCAGCGCGTGTATCATCACCTGTCTGATGATGCTCTTGACACATGGCAGCGGCAGACCCTGGTAGTTGGATTTAATGATCCATTTCAGCAGGTGATGACCCAGCACCTCAAACACCATACACACATCTGGTTGGATGAGTCAAGGGCTGAAAATATCGTTTCTCTGACGGGAACGGTTGTAAAAAAAAAAAAAAAAAAAAAAAAACACGAAACGGGTAAAACGTCTGACGAGGATACGTATGCCGTTGACGCCAGAGATCTTGAAATCGTCTATCAGCTGAACCACCATGTCTTTGTTTGGGTCGCCGGGGTCGCTCTCTCTCACCTGGAGGTGAAATGGACGAGAGAGAATTATGTTAAAATAGAAGAAGAAGAAAACAGAGAACATAAGGAGGTGAACGAGTGCAAGATCAAAAGAAGAAAAAAAGACAGGAAGGATAAAAACCCAAATACTGATAAAAAAACAATTAATAAACCAATCAGATTCTCACACATCGCAACAATTTGATCTCATCCAGGGCCGTTTCCGTGTAGTGCTGGGCGCTTTTCACCACCTTCATCGCCACGAAGTTCTTCACTCTGTAGTCCGACACAAACACAGACGGGCAAAACTGACTGACAGGCTGGAAAAGCCGAATTTCTGCTTGGTTTTCTCTGGGAAAACGTGTCGTTATGCAATTATAGAGCCGAGTTAACAGATATCTCTGGGCCATTTTTAACTAATATGTATATTCCCCTGAAATCTCTGTGGGCGCCCAGGAGCAGAACTAAACAAAAGGGAGGAAGGATTTAGTTACGAAATCAACTTCCTTGAACTCTACAGAAACCGCTGCCTCCTTGAAAACATTACTGCACATCGCAGCTTTTATGCAAGGACAAAAGTCATGGTAATATTTTTGTTTTTTAAATTCATATTGTTTTTTTTTATATTTCATTTTACCCTACCTTGTTTTGTTTTGGGGGTTTTTAAGTTTTTATTACCATGCATGTACAATCTTTCCTTCTCTTGCCTCTGCACTACATTTATTAATTTATGTTCTGTTATTACTCCAGCATGCTGTGAAAGCCAGAATAATAATAACTAATAATAAGACTTTGAGAAATGGAAAAACTAATAATAAAAGAGAAATAAAAGAGAACAATGTTGGAAAGGATGTATGTAGAAGGAATTAATCCATTGTTAAATTTAGATATGCAAAAACAAAAGGCATACAATTTACTCGTCCAACACCTTGGTTCTGAAACAGCAACCGAACTCCATCTTATTTCCAACATTAGTGTAATTAACACCAGCGGCCCGAGTAAATTAGTTTGTGAGCGAGTCGGTGAGAGGTTACTCCTGGTTGCTGATCCTGTCAGCCACCTGCCCTGGTTGCCACGGCAAACCAAGTTATAGTTCAAGCTGACAGATTCGGTTTCCAGCGCAGGACGGTGTTGGTTGCAGTTGTCAGAGAGGAGACGAACCGGATTCTGTCAACAAGTGCATGTGTGGTGTGCGCTTGCGGTGCGTGTGACGTGCGCTTCAAAGCTAGCACCTGAATGTGTCGACTTGAGTGAGTGCCGTTTCTGGGTCACGTCTGTGTTTGTAGAGGATGTGCAGACAGAAAAAAAAAAAAAAAAGCGAAACTCTGAAAGGGCAGATTGTGCTGCAGTGAAGGTGTTTGTTTGTGACGAGACTCACTGTATGTCCCAGCACAGCCATACTGTGGAGAAGTGACCCCATCCCAACTTCCTGATCACATGGTACCTTCCGTTGAATAAATCCCCGATCTTCACCGGATGGTATCCTCCTGAGAGAGGTGAAGCAAGGAAGGTGAAGGTCACACAGAGAGCTGCATCAGACTCCGACACAACGGCAAGCTAGCACTTAAAGGAGCATCTACGCAACGCACCGCAACACGGAAACACAGCGTTACAGATTAGAATATTACATCAAACAAATATTCTTCAGACAGAAATGTGTGCTTCATGAAGAGTATGTTTAACAGTAAGAATAATTTATTTAGTCCTACCTGCATATCTAACATATGCATCACAATTTATGGGGAATCCTATACAAATTAGCAGGAAACATTTCCAATCACATGCTATGCCATGCAGACACTCTGTCTGCACTGATGAACATCCTTCACCTAAAATGACTGATATAATCACAGACTAGCAATCCATCTAAAAACTACTTTAAGTACGGAAAAGTGAAAAAAGCAAAAACTAATTTTACACTTTTCATCCCAATACGTCACCTGAAAAGCAACTCTTGTGATTGGGTTCTGGTGATGTGGATGATGCACTTTGTTTCTTTACTATTAAAATTCTTTTACATCACCAGATATGAAAAATATGTAAGACTGTAGCTTGAAACACATCAGTCCGACAGTCTCCATCAATAAGCTCTGCAATAATGCAGTAAAGATATATTTTCATTAAATGGAATATTTTGACCGCAGCACTTTGTTCAAATCAATCCATTATAGATTTCAGATTTATTCAAGTCCCGAATGGGCAGTTAATGTTAAGGCAAGTATGTGAATATAAAAAGACATAAAAACTAAAAGTATCAAAAGTTAAAAAGTAAAAAAACAAACAAAAATAACAAAAAACAAATATAATGTCTTTATAATGAAACATTCAGAAAAGACCTTGAGCTCAAATCCTCTTTAGGATTCATAAACTGAAAATACAAATAATCACTACTTTCAAGACCTTTATATTTTTACATATTTTCTGCAGAGATTACAATGGAGAAACATTGATCAAGGCCAAAATCTGATGAATTATCCATTACTATCAAAACATTAATCAATTTATGGGCTGGATTTTTAATATGCCAGAAATTCAACACATATATTTGTTTTTGTAAAGTGCTGTAAGCATGATTTGTTGTGTACAAGAGTTTATTTCAAGCATGACAAATGAGTCAATGCGTGAAAGCTCAAAAGCCTTTGCAGTATAAATGGTGAGATTTCAAAAACTGGCTTTCACAATAAAAGATAAAGAAAAAGGATATAAAAGGCATTAAGTTTAAAGCTTCAAAGAGAAAAACCTCTACTCAAAACTTTTACACTGCTATAAAAGACGCTGCAAAGTAAACAGTGTGTTGAAGTTGCCAAATTAAAAACACATTTTTCTTTCAGACAATGATGTGAAAGCAAAGTATATAAAAGAAATTTTATTCTTTCACTTTTCTGATGATTTCTTGTCTTAATGAAGTGAAAACTGACAGTTTGACTGTTTCTTTAGAAAGATAAGTCACTGTCTCCAGTCAGAAAGCTTTTGTAGCATTGGTAGGGTTTGATCAAAATTCACTGATAATTATTAAACTGATAAATTCGTAAAGGGCAGATATATTGTTTCAGAGCTAGAAAACCTGAACATCTTGTAAATATGAAATCTAAACAGACTATAACTGGTATTTTTCTTTTTAAGAGCACTTCTCTCAACTCCAGTGGGATTTGAGGTCATAGTTCAGATATTTGCTTATTTATTTAAGTTTTTTTTTTTTTTTTTAATGTTTACATTTTTTAAGACTTTATAGTTAGTGTTCAGGTAATTTTCCAATCACACATAATTATCAAGTGATGCATACAAATTTTCTGTCAAATTTAAACATTTTTTAACTCAAAAACACGACGGTGGATGAATGACCCAACCACCAGGCTTAGCAAGTTTTCTGGGGGAAACCTTGTTTCATACTTAATCAAATGTGCAGTTATATCTTGTTTTCTCATTTTTATGTACGTCTACCAGTTCAAAATGTCCGCTGCCATTCTCAGATTGCATTATTAAACCACTAAATAACTCCTCTCTCAAAACATTAACCCTGTTTTTGTATCCACAACAATTAGCTGCAGCAGGGACTTGTTTCTTTTTTCTTTTTGAGGCAAATCAACCAAATTAAAGAGATTATTTAACTTCAAATGTGCTCTGACTCAACATGACAGTCATTACTTTCCTTACAAGATACATACGTAGTATCTTTATGTGAAATGTTAGGGGTGAGCCTGTTGAAAACTAAATACAGACAGACTTGTAGAGTTTATCACGGGTCTCCATAGAACATCATTTCAACACCTTTGCTATGATAGTGCAGCTACACTTTAATGAGATTAACAGTGACTCGATTGGAAAAAATGTGTCGACATGCATTTGAACATCAACACTGGTCAGAATGGGAGCAGAAATTATAGGATCTTCCTGAATTCTGCACGAATACTTGTAATTTTTTTTCAAATACGGATCTGTGGCAAATTACAAGCAAACTGTGTCTCCTGGATGTTTTTCTCATAGATGTGCAACTAACTGCTTGCATGCAACATTGTTTGCAACTTTCTCCTATTAACTAGATAAATCAGCACATATATGTGAGCCCTTTAAACCTGGACACTTTGCTTTCACTACTTTCATTTTAGGTGGCAACTGCATTGCGCTCTGACCCAGAATTCAGTGTCAAATGTCTCAGTTCTCAGCTACATGATTTTAACCTTTTCAAATGTTTCTTCATTTCAAATATGGACATGAATAGAACTTGCGAGTTTTAAGATAGACCACAAGTGAGGAAAGATAAGTAATAATGAGTAAATATTTAGAATTTTACATGCTAAAATTCTTTCTCTAGAATTTTCCGTAATTTGGAAAAAACATAATGCACTTAAATGCATGAAATGCCTTCGTCTTTGTGAGCTACAGCTGCTCCATTCTTGCAGGAGCCAAACAACCTTGAAATGTTTGCGACACGCTAATGTTTATAGCAACACTGTTGGAAATCTCATCAGGATGCAACAGAGAGAGGAAAGAAAAGGGACGGAGAGGGGTTAAAAAACAACAACAAAACACTCCATCATCGAGCTCTGCAGGACAGATGTGGAGGGAGGAAGATCCCAAACGGATAAATTCAGCACGTGTGTGTCTGTAACGCTGACCTTTACAGTAGTCTGCTGGGTCCTCCTGCTCCTCATCATCAGAGCCCAGGATCTCTTCCTCCGGCTCCGTCGGCCCTGCCAGCTCAGGCGGAGGTGGAGGAGGCGGCGGGGGAGGGGGCGGGGTAGTGACCAGGGCTTTCTGCTGGGTTTCAGGCCTGTGAACACAACGGTGAAGCAAAACTTAGCAAACCCTGAACTGTTACTGCTTGATTTGTGCGTTTCGAGCCATGACTCACAAGGACGACTGTAGAGCTCTAAGAGCAGATGACTCATTTCAAAGTTAGGCGTGCTTTCATTCAGATATCAGCGTTTTCAACAGTATCAGGATATTGAGAAGGGATAACAATGTCAATGAAAAGAAGCATTTTTATCAGAGAGCCCATCATACAGAAGCACTACTTGGTTGTACTGACAACGTTTCTGTTTCTGAGTGAAGAAACCTCAAAGTTAGTGACTTTCATCATCAGCGAGGGGTTGAAAATAAATTCACAGAGATACAAAATGCTATTTAGAAGGAAATTGTATTTTTCAGTGATTCATTCGGCTGCAAAACGGTGAGAGAAATCAAGACATACAGTAAAAACAACTGAACATCAAGTTGACGTTTTATCTTTTTGAGCTTTCAAACATCTGTCTGTCATGAGACATGATGGATTTGGAGAAGCTGGCAGAAATCTAAACTTCAGCCACAAACAGACTACGGTAAAAATCAATAAATAAAAGATTAAGGCTTATGAGAATACATTTCAAGGTAGTGACAGTCAAAATGCAGCTTAACATTTCCTTATTAAGGAACAGTCACATCTTATATTAAGGAACATCTTAACTGTAAGTGCCAAAGTTATCTCAAAGGCCTTATTCACACATAGCCGGGTCTCTATAAAAACAAATATTTCCACCACATAGTTTAAAAAAAATATATATATATTGGACACACGGGATCAGTTTCAGAAAAGTTTGTATCTGCACAAATACAGACTTTTAGACATGCCAGACCCGAAGGGGGCAGTGTAGCGCAAAGCAAAAACCTGTCAGCCAATCAAAATGCAAAACAACCATGAGTTCCTGTTATCAATTAAACATGACACCCAAGAGTTCATTTGTGTGGACAGATGTGCAGGTTGAACTATTTTGTAAGAGTGCATTAGAATATAAATTTTATAAAACACAAGACGATGTTGACTGGGAATCATGTCAAAGGAAGCATATGGATATGCATGATTTGACACAGACTGTGATGTGCAGGACCCTAAATCTCAGTTTTCCTGTAGGTGCACATGCAAACACAAATAAGTTGGTGGTGAGTCAGGTCTGTGTTCTTTCAAATGATAAAATAATCATTTGAATGATGTTAAACAGTTTTTTGTGCAGATAAAAGGCCAAAATGCAAGAAAAAAATCTGGACCAAACCTGAAACAGAATCAGGCGACCAAGAAGTCAAACACTTTGGACTTTGTTCGACTGCACAAAATCTGTGGTTACAGGATCCAACAACCTATCTGTTTGTTGCCATGGCAACACCAGAAAAGGGGGGCCTGGTGGGTTTAGGTCTCAAAACCTTAACATTGTGACGGTGCCCACACACGCACACACACACGCGCTCTCAAATACGCAGGCCGTCAAGGATCTCTGTCCTTGCAGCAGGATGTTCCGTCCCTCTTTACCAAAGCAGTCACGTAGAGTGTCATACATCACATCTATAAGCTCGGTGCTTTTGTGAGACTCATCCTGCTATTGGCTGCACTAATACTTACCGCCTCCCTCCCTCTATAACTTCCTGAAGCCAAGCTTTGCTGTAAGCAAAATTAAAACAGTCTCTTTAAGATGGGCAGAGGAGGCATGGTCGCAGGAAGAAAAAGAAAACCCAGCGGGGGAACAGCTTAAAACGGCTGCAGAGACAAACAAGGCAGCAGAAGGCTGAGAAACACAAAGGTGAGACGGGAAAACACGAACAGAGATGTGGATAATCACAGGAAAACAGAAGCCACAGACACAGGTCTGAGGCTGAGACCAGAGGGGGAGAATGAACAGAGAGATTATTCAGGCGCAGAAAGAGTCCAAATATAAAACCTGCATACGGAAACAGGCCGATGCGATCGGACGCAACGATAAACAATTACAGATCAGGAAACACGAAAGATGGACACCAACCACCGACAGACTTAAGGCAGATTTTTGACAAGTCCGGTAAATTTGAGTAACTCACAACCCACAGTGGCAGATTCACTACTTAAAAAAAAAAGATAATTACTAAGGCAATTATAAGTCAGGTGATGTTACATGTCTGTGGTGAAGCCTAGGGGTGACCATGTATCGTATTGTTTATCATTTGTCATTTATTGTGATAGACACTACGCATTTTGAGTCATCGTTGTCACAATAAATTCCAATTAATGACGTTTAAAATAATCCTAAAAATGGTCAGTATTGTTGGGATTGTTTTATTGGTCAATGACAGAATCAATAATTATCAATAAATTAAAAATATATATATTAAATGCAGTTGCTGTGTGCAGTTTAGTGATATAAATCACTTCTTTATATGACTGGTGTCCTAAAGAAGCATGTTACAAATGGGAATATTTCTCAAGCACAGTTTGTGGATCTGTAATTGCCGTGTCATGCAGTCACAGCCGCACGGTTACCTGAAAAGTAAATAGTTTCTATCCCTTTTATTGTCATCACAAAATATTGCCATCCCCTACTAAAGTGTTCTGCAGAAACCAACACATGAGGTTACAGCATTTTATAAATAAGGAGTGGAAATGCTGGCGTTTTTGTTTGAGATTTTTCAAGAGGTTTCAAACTCTTCTCATTTGAAAATATGATTAGTCAGAGTAACACCTGAGTAACTGGGTAAGTTGTTTAACAGAAATATATAATTATTAACCTAATAAATGCCTATTTAACTGTGTTGAAAAACCACATGGTCAAATGGTTAGAAATAACACATCAGGTAAATACAGACATTGTGACTAAGCATCAGCTAACAGAGTCAATTTTCTTCTTCTTTTCTAAAGGTTCCTCTAATTTTCACGTTGTCATAGTGCCTAAGAGTTCATCGTCTTATCCCATTGCAACCCAACCGTCTTCACATTGTGAGCTAAAAGCACAAAATAACCCTAAAATGAATAGCTGCAAGGCAAGAAACCACCCTGAATATCAAGCTAGCGTAAAGACTGCTATCCTCCAGTGTCTTGAAAAGCGTTCATCCCACTTGGCTTATTCACATTTACTGATGTTACAACTACAAACAATGTATAGCAGTGTATTATAAGCCTGGCGGGCCACCAGGCTTTATTTGGGCTCCCACCAAGCTTAACATTGCTTATTAATTTAAGGTTTTTCTTTAATGTTTGCATTTTCAAGACTTTATGGTTGTTGTTCAGCTATTAATCTTCCAATAACACATAATTATCAAGTGCTATTTTCAAGTTTCCTGTCAAATTTAAATATTTTTTAACTCAAAAACACAGTGGGTCGCTGGATGAATGACTGCCCCAACCAACGGGCTTAGCAAGTTTTCTGGGGGAAAACCTCGTTTCATACTTAATAAAATGTGCAGTTTTATCTTGTTTTCTTATTTTATATATCTCTACCAGAATGTATCAACAAGCATTGGTACATTGCCTTAGAAGCTAAACATGCTGTAAACCTGCTTTCCACTTCAAGATGCCGTCTACTAATGTTCTCTTATGAAACCTCTGAGGTCTTTGCAGAACAGCTGGATTGACATCAAATTAGTTTTGGAAGAAACTGTATAAGCAGCAGTTTATTGGGCTGGCAATGAACTTTCAGAAACACTGAGTGAATAAGTTCACTTTTACGAATGTTTTGCTCCAACGTAAATGGACTGAGCCAGTGTTTATGTTGCATAAACCTCGACAAGTAAACCAGAAATAAATCCTCCTCGCTTCGATATTAGAAAGCGCACTTTCAGTCGACGTAGCTGTAAATTGCAAGTCCAGACAAGAAGGTTTCGGCCAATAAAACTGCGTGAGGGGAAACTACTGCAGAATGTGTCATCCATCCCTCAACTTCTTATGAGTATCGACATGTCCAGACTGCTTCGTCACATCTTTTACCCCAGCGTGAGTCTGTGTGTGTCTGGCTGCGCGCAGTGTTCCCCATCTCTCTGCTCACGCCCTGTAATGGTATCTCCAACCCCGGCGGGTAAAAAAAAAAAAGACAAAAAGACAGCCCAGCATGTTTTCCTGGGTAGTTTGCTGACAGGAAAGCCCTCCTCCTGAGGAAAATTAGCTCAGTACATTCCAGTGTGACAAATGTTCAGGTAGATCGAAAGATGTCGACATTATTCACACCTGAAAACCAGTTGAGTCATGCCGCCTGCTGAAGTTTATGACTGCAAAGTAATGGTCAGATGTAGTGAGGAATGCAGAAAATGCTCGACACGATGTAAGTTAGCGCTGGTAGCATGAGTTTGCATGTTCTCCCCGACCTAAAAACATGGCTAAATTGCTCGTGTTTCTATAACAAATTTTGCTGGGCGATAAATTATCCCAGTAATTCTAGCAATAAATAACAATACTGTTGTTTTGAGTCTCTCGAAGACTAATAAACCTTAATTTTGTAAAGAATGCTGAACACTGGAATTGGAAGATATTTTAAAAGTCCAAAAAAACACGACAACCAAAAATAAAATGGGAACAAAAACCACTTTCGACCGAAACCAATAAATAAAGTGGATTATGATGTCTCTAAACAAATTTCCCTCATTTAAATTTATCGTGTGATTAATTGATTAATTGCTTATGGCTTACAGGCTGAACTCACACCAAATCATCACCAAACATAAGTGGTCAAAAAAGGAAACATTACAACAACTGGGAGATTGCTTGATCAATACTTTGAGATAATTTTGGATTGATTTTTATAAATCATTTTCAACATGAAATTAATAAAACGTAAATAAAAACAGATTTCAAAAATCAATACTGTTGCTTTGTCTGTATTTCGCTCTCTTTTCAGAATTATGCTTTGCAATTTTCTATGGTTAAAATATAATTTTTCATCTGCCAGGGGTTTGTCTAGCCAGCTAGATACATGGATAGACAGCTGTTAATACTGATAAGAGGAGATTCCCTGATAATAAACAAATAATAATTATTCTGTTGTTGTGAGGGATCCAGAAGTC